GCCGACCTTGTTTGTATGCTGTGAGGAGAAAATGCAGGCAAGAAAATGAGAATCACAAATATGAAACATAGTCTGCTCCCTAGGAGAGCACAGCTGGCAGCCATTTGTGGATGGAAGGGCTCTGCACCTGCAAAGCCACCTAGTGCTCTGGCCCTGAGAGAGGCAAGTTGGTGAGCAGGTCTGTGGTTTGGGGGAAGATAGGAAGCAGTCAGTCTACTTCAAGATGCATTTTATAGATAACTCAAGGGCTTCAAAAACTACAGAATTACTTTTAGTGGGTAGAAATGATTTTACTTATGAAATTTTTTCATGTTTTGTAAGCCAACCTACTATATAAATGAATAAAAGGGAATGTTTGGTAGTTTTCTGGTTGCTTTTCCTCTTGACCTAATTCAGTTACCTTGTCTACTATCCGATATGAATATCAGAAATGGCGTACCTTGTTTTTTAAGTTCCAGTCTGGTTTTCCTTCAAAGAGCCTGTGGGCATCAGTGTTTGTGTTGTTTGTGTAACTTTTATGGGAGGATCAAAGTTAGGACCAGCCAATGCAAGGCAGAGAACTGTGGGAACTGGTAGAAATTTCCCCTGATCTTCCTGCTCCAAAATTTCAGAGGGTATTATATATTTTGAGAATCTTCTGTCCCAAGAGTCTTTCCTCCAAATTTCTTCCCAGGACTCTTGCAAATATTCCTGAAAGCAGTGTCACATTGTTTAGTTTTGTATGGAGAGAATACTGAACTTGTTCAGCAAATCTCTCTTGCAATTACTCTTATGCTTAGTATTAAGATAATGTTAATACATTTACTTGTAACCTTCCTAGAATAGTGACTAGGAAAGGAGTTACTTTCAAAGTAGACTGTTTAGCCCTACTGTGTACAAGGCATTTTTTAAGACTTCACAATTGCTAGTATGACTTTTACTATATTGAATTGTGGGGTCTGCAAAAGAAGATAAACAATGTGGAAAAATATTAAGCATAGCTTATTAATGAAAAGTTTATTATAAATGAAGACTTTAAATAATTGGGTTTTGCTGCATCAGAGAAGAACTGGTTTATCTTGTCCTTTGAAAAACCATGAAAAAAAAAAAAAAGACCATGAGTGAGATCATAGCCCAAGTCCAAGTCTGCCTCAGAAGCATCTGGGATAACTGCATTTTCTCAACCTGCTGGGCCTCTACCGACACCCTCAGTTTGGGAGAAACATGCATCTGGGAAGGGAGAGGGGTCAGAGAAACATCTGTTCTCTCTACAATGGCTGGTATCATAGCTCCTTCAAGCACTGCAGTGCTGGATGCAATTGCAGATTTTCTCCAGTACAGAATCTTTGCAAAGCCTGGTCGATTTTCTGAGGGCTCAGGGACAGGTTGTAGATGAGATTGTAGTTGTCAATGAGGTGTCTGGCTCATTCTTTCTTCAGATTTCCTGTGATTGCACAGGGTGTGTAGAAGGATTTTTAAAGAGGAAAGGGGAGAGCTGAGAAAAGTATATCTTAGCTTGAGTGGCTTCAGGGTAGGCACTAATTACTAATATTTTGAAACATTGAGCTTTTAAAAACCAGGTGATATCTTCAAAATATTTGCAGTCCTGGATATGCCTCATAGATTTCAGGAAGAATTTTAAGTTTTTTTTGAGGGGAAAGAGGACAAAATACTTTCCAATAAAATCCCTAGATAAGTTCTTATGCAATTTTATTTTGGGCTTTTTATTTGTTGGTTGATTGTTTGTTGGTTGATTGCCATACAACTTTTAAAGCCAAATTTTGAAAAAGGTGGATTATATGCTAAAAATAATTTCCAAATGTTCTGGATTATTTTTATCTTACTAAACTATCCAAATATGTTCCTGGGGCTGGCCAAATAGCTCAGCAGATTAATGCACCTGCAAGTAGGCACAAGGGCCGGGGGTTTGATCCCTGGGTTTCCTGTGCCAGCCTTGACCCCGGGGTGTGCTGAGACTGGGTGTGGTGGTGCGCGCCTGTAATCCCAGGTCTTGGGAGGCTGTAAACAGATGGATCACTGAGAGTCTAATCTAGTAGTGAGACCCTGAACACTCTGTAGACTCTTCCCTAAAATACAAACAAACAAACAAACAAACAACCCAGAAAAATGTTCCTGAACACTAAGGGCTTGAACAACACATTTTAAATTCATTTTTGGACATTTATTGTGTCTCTCTAGCTTGCTCTGTGATTCACAGGTAAATTGTCTAAGCATATGAACCTGTAATAGGGCTAGTAATATATATCTTGTACCCACATGTTTCCATCCTAACACCAATATGCTTGTGTCAATATGCTTTCTGCAGTAAGGTGAGGCTACTTTTGATAGTTGCTGAAGGGTGTTAAGTGCAGATCACAGCACCACCAAAGATCAGCAATTTGTGCCCAATTGCCTACTGGTGCACTTACACGTATGTGGATATGGAGAATTTAGAGAAGAGTACTATTACCTCAGGAAGCTCTCCTGACTGGCAGGGAAGAAAACTCATGCAGAAAATTGATAGAGTGCAAAAATAATAACAGTAATGACTGACACATATACAATTTAATATGTACCAACCACTGTTGAAGATACTTTACCAACATTAAATCATTTAATCCTCATCCCAGCCCATTTCATTCCAGGTCTGGGCTGCTCAGTCACTTGTCCAAGATTGTGCAAGATAAATCTCTGAACTGCATCCTGGAAAGAGCGAGAAGCAAGCACTTCCAGTCCAGTCATGTTGCTTCCTAAGTTTCCTTAATTTAGGAAAATCTATTCCACAGATGTCAGTGAAATGATTCTGATATCTTATATAAAAATAAAATAAACATATTACTCTTCTGCTCTCTTTTACCTGTGTACACTCTAAGAGTAATTGTAAAATTCTTGTCAAAGAATCCAAAGGCAATGGCTGGATCATTTGGTAAAGAATCACTACTCATCCACTGAAGGTGGGCAGCAGTGGATACCTGTCCTGTAACTAAAGCTCTATGTATAAGTGCAAGGACTGAGGAGCACAATGGGCCCAGGGAGCTGCTCTCAGATGGTGTCCTTAACAGTGGCTACAGGTGGTGGGTGTCTTTCTGTGACTCATTCCATTCTCATGCATTCCATCCCATTGCATCCTATCCTTCCATTCCATTAGTTTGGCATGTACTCTCTTTTGGCTTGCCTGTTGCCTGTTTATCCTACTAGGATGTCCTTTTCCTCCAAATAGACCTCATTTTAGCAGTAGCCAAGTACATCTTTAGTCTTCTGGGCTGGATGGCTGCTCTGAGTCCTGCCTAATGTTGTTCCCATGGATATTCCTGCTGCCCCTTCCTTCCTATGGAGATGTAGCTCATGGGCTTTGGAGTAAAGTTATGACTAGAAGACTTTAAGAAAGTTAAATTAACTAAGAGGAAATAGCTGTATATCTATCCTATCATATATATATATTTTTTTGTTTTGTTTTTTAAACAACAAAATGGTCCTTTATTTATATCCCCCTTTTTTGTCTTGTTTTGTCAGAGATGGGTGTTCCATTGCTGTTAGGGAAGCTGTATTTGGAGAAGTCTTTAAAGGACCTTTTCATACTTGATGCCAGTTCAAAGATTGTAGGTACTTGAATTCAGCAAAATAATTCAATATAGTCCAATAGTCCATAATAGCAGCGAGTTATCAGCACAACTGGCAATTGTCCGAGGTTGTTGACTTGAGCCTTTTACATCTCAGCATATTAATATAGCTTTACTTTTTATGTCTCATGGTTATAGTTTTCTGCTGAATGGCTAAGACCAAGTTAAAGCAAGACCTAAATAACTAAAAATGTGACTTTTGTACCTGACAAAGTCAGTCAAATCCCCTCAGAATTTACCCTGAAACCATATTCAGCACCTTGTGGATCTTTTGTCAGTGTCAGCCATTGAAGTTTTTTTTTTTTTTTTTTTTTTTTTCCCAGAAACGGGGATTGAACTCAGGCCCTTGCACTTGCCAGGGAAGCGCTTATTCCACTGAGCCATCTCCCTGGCCCAGTGTCAGCTGTTGAGAAGAAAGGTTTGTACTAATATTGCTAAGATATCATGTCTGTATCTTGTCCTCTGAATAACTACTATGAAGGCAACAATATGCAATGTACTAATTATTGTAACTGTCCTACTAACCTGTTTTGAAACTGTTTCATAGCTATTTTATTTTTTTTTCATTAAAATGAAAAAAAAGGGATGGAAGAAAAAAGAAAGTTAAATTAACTTTCTCATCCTTAGTTTCCTCAAATTCAAAATACAGATAATCATATTCATGAAAATCAATAAATGAAAAGGTGTTCAGTCACTAGGCACTCATAAATGCCAAGTATTGCTATGCAATTATAATAAATGTTTAATCATTATTTAAAGTCCATAAAGATGTATTTAATATAAAGAAATTATTAAAAATATAGTGCTTAGTTTGTGTATTAATTAAACATGACAAGTAATATTTAAAAGTTTGCCTAGGGAGCACACACTGTTTCCTATCCTCCAAGCTTTGCCCTTGGTGGTGGGTTCCTAATGCACCTACCCCCCCCCCCCCCGTGCCTCTGTAGGCAGCAGCCATTGCCAGCAACAGCTTTACATCCACCCTAGAGTGGAAAGCCTGCCCTTAGCTAGCCAGAAGGGAAAGAAAGAAATAAAATGAACCTCATTGAAATTGTTTTGTTTTACTATTTATAAGGACATTTAAAATTTGGTCCTTTATCAAATTTGGGAAGTCTGTTTTATTATTATTAGTTCTCATTTATAGTTGAGAAAACAAACTCAGAGACCTTAAGTGACTAGACTGAAGATTAAACTATTGGTGGAGTCTGGACTTGAATATAATTCTTCTGGTTAAGAAAAAGCAAAGCCTGTGTCTGTTTCACAAGTCTTGAGAGTTGTGTGAGAAGGCAAGTAAAGCTAGATTGGAATTATGGCTCCATTCACTGCACAAATGACCTTACCTTGGGGCTTGAGGTCCTCACTGGAGGTAAGTGTGCTAATGCAGCAGTGTTTGACTATGGTGGGACTTTAGTAAGATGTGGACGCAGAGTGCAGGCCCTGTAGATGACATCCTGTTAGGCATTCTACCTCCCTGAACTTGAAGTATTTTCTATGTAGCTTTTGGCTTACTGGGCAAATTCCAAGTGCACCATTTACTCAGACATTTATCCCAACTGACCTCCTTTCTTTAAAGCAAAGGATGGGTTATTTAGTCATTCTTTACCCCTCCTCCTCAAGGCTACTTTCTCGAAAACTCTCATTAAAGAATAAGCCCTGTAGGTTCCCAGAAACATTGATTTGATGATGGATGGTCTCCCTGCACCCTGGATGAAGAACAGCATGGCCTACATGCTTTCTTGCACGTAATAAAGAATAGTGATTCATCTGCAGACAGTGTATGGTGTCCTCTGCTCTGCTTCTAGAAGGGAGTCTTCACAGGCTGCTGGACACTGTGGCTAATAAACCAACAGAATGACCTCAGTCCTCACTCCTTTCCTCATTAATGACAGTGGTGGATATTCCCAGATCTGGCTAACAAATTCCTTGACTGTTCATGAACTAATTGACTTCATAGAAACACAGTAAACAGGCATAAATAGTGAAGAGGCCATGAGAAAAGTATTTCAGATCTGTCAGAATCTACCTCTAAAGTCAACAAAATTCTGTTTCCTCAGTTCCTATGAGAAAGGTCCCAATCTTTGGGGAGTCCCTTAGCAACTAACTTTATGATTCATCACCCATCGTTACAATTCAGTATTTGTTTCCTCAGGAATGTTTTTTTCCCCCTCTACTCAGGTCTTTTTCTTTCTGCTTTTTTTTTTTTTTTTTTAAACTTTATATCCCACTGTCACTTTCATAGCCCTGGCTTGAATACCTAGACTTGGGTTTAATTACATAAACTTTTAATCTCCTTCTCTCTAGAATCTTGCCTAAACAGTCCCTCTTGGTTTTGTTATGTCCTCCTCTACTGGGCCTTTGTGAGGCTCTGGGTAGTGGTTCCTGCTCTGAGCCTGGGGATTCACAGTAAGGTCTGTGACCCACACCATTGACTGTCTGCCCATTCCCAGCTCCTGACCTTTGCAGAAAATGGTTTCAACCTCAGAACATGCTGCCTAACTTTCTGAAGTCCTTTTTCTTCCTTCTCATCTCCAGCCCTTGTCTCCCAAGAACCTCTCTGCTATTCTAGCTCAAATAGGATGGTGAGCTTCCTTTCATCTGGTTTTTCTTTCATTCAACTCTTTATTTTTTTTAATTGACATACAAGGCCTATCCACATTTATGGGGTTCTATGTGATATTTTATAAAAGTACATTTTGTGTAATGTTCAAATCAGGGCAAGTGTGTCCATCTTCTCAATGTCTGACATTTCTTTTTGGTAAGAGCATTCAGAACCTGCTCTTGTCACTCTTCTGAGACAAGATGTGCTGTCATCATGTGTCACCTGCCTGCTATGCTCTTGCACATCAACAGGGTCCTCCTGCTGACCTGCAACTAGCGGTTATCTTTCCCTGATGCTCACTTGTGCCTGCCACTCTAAGACTTCACTCTGTGCTAGGCCTTTCCTTTTGCTTTTTTTCTTTTTTGGCTTTGAGCCATTGCCAAACTCTGCATTTTACCTAAACTAAGCTTCTTAATGCCAGAAACAACTTTTGATTTTCCTCTTGTTCTAGCTTCCAACCCAATGCTGATCTTGCAACAGATTTTTAATAAATAATTTTAAATTCATTTAGTTGAATCTTTCACTTAAAGTTTTTAATTATTTTTTCTTTCTTAGGTATAAGTATTAAAATCCTTGAGTATTATATGGCAGTTTTACTTCATATAGTCTAGAATTATATTGCTTTAGAAATTTATA